ACTGGGGCTGTTCTTTCGCATAGTTTCCCCAAATCCTCAGTTGGCCCAAGGGTCTAGGAGTTGCAAAGGGGGTATCAAACCCGCCTTTGCTCTCCTCCAACATAATACGGTACAGAAGAGTGTAAAGAGCATCAAAGGTGCTTTATTCTTGATATGCCATCTCTGCTTATCATTTGTTATTGTTAAATTATCATCATTCTGCCTCCCCTTAATTTGGAGACATTTATGGTAAAGATGAAGTTGCAGATGGATACAAGAATCTGAAAGATGCGTACTTTGAAAAGGAAACATAGCTAGATACAGTTGAAACGTAGAAGAAAAATGAGCCATTGCTAAAATACCTTAATTAGAGAAAAATCTTAACTGCTGGGTGAAATTCTATGACCTGTGATAGACTTCAGGTCAGAGCAGGTGATCACACAGTATCTCTTTCATGCTTTGATATTTATTAAATAAGATATTAATTATTAACAAAACCCACATGTGGAATGTCTTTTCAAACAGATTTGGAGGTTTAATATTGTTTAATGTCCAACAACACAACTAACACAAATATAAAAGGAAACACGTTTGAGATTTAGTGCCCCTCTGCTGAAATGTGAAGCAAATACTTTATCCACACGTATTAATTCTTTGGTTGAGACCAAGGAAAACTTAGAGGCATCTTTTGAACAATATTCTTCTATTAATGTATTAAAATTATAGAAATGAATAATAGAAGGAACAAAGATAACTATCAAAATATCATAAAAGTTAGACTTTGGTTCAATAAAGTGAGATGTATAAAGCTATTTATTTGCAGACTAACTTAATGCAATACAGTACCTACTAAATTGTATTTTGTCTGTGACAGCGAAATAAATCAGTGAGTATATGAAGAAAAAAGATTGAGTACACGGTGTTTTCAGACAGACACCTAACCTCTCCAGTTCAGACAATCTATTATGAAACCACGTTCTTCTTCTGACCTGACTATGCTTTACTTCCAAAGTTTGCCAAATATTTCTTTCTACTGCTGTGTTAGGACAAAAGATTCTTTGTTCCATAAGCATTTATGAAGTCCATGCATCAACACCTTTATTAATTGTTCAGTTACCACACAAGACCTATTATTCAACCGCTTCATTGGATAAATACTTGCTTTTGTCCCTCTTAAGCCATGAAAGATGATTTCTGCATCTTTTCCTGGAAGAAGAGATTCAACACTTTTTTTAATTTTAATAAAAATGTTGAAACACCTAAACTGAGTAAACATGCAGTCATACTTCACTCATATTCTTTTCACTCTTCTCCTGTTGTATGACCAGAATAAACAGGGTAGTGAACAAAAAGCTAATACTCATTTGCCAAAACACTCACCTTTAGGATAAACGAACCACAGTACAACATATGAAAAAAGGAAAACATCCTGTTGCCGCTGACAGTAATCACTGAAAGCACACAGTAAATGAGACCTTGTATCAATGAAGAATCAAATGAAAGGAAAAGAGAGAGAAAGGACAATGACACAAAGATCATTAAAACCACAAAAAAGGCATATTTTGGAACAAGAATAATTCAGGTGATAGTGCTCAATATAAACCTAAGGTTTAATTCAACTGAATTCACAAGAATTCAGGTGGTAAGATTTAATTTATTTAAAACAGAGGTTTACCTTGACTATCGAAGAAAACTTCTCTATTAACAGTATAGTACTTCAGTTCTCCTACCTGCCGCCCCTTGGATGAAGGCCTGGTATCACATAGTCCAAATCTGTTCCGAATCACCTAAACTGAACGGCAGGTTGCCTGTCCCAAATACAGATCGCTCGCTCTCTGATGAGCTGTTTTCAGTGAGCACCCACACGTACTCCATATCCTGAGAAATCTGGTCTCTCTGGAGATCAGTAAGGGTTGTTTCTGGGGATAAGGCAACCAGGACCATGCCTGAGCAAATATCATGATGCAACAGCATTCTTAGCATGCTTTTCCTCAGAACCCAAACCTCCTAAACAGTAAGGGATCCAAATCCACAGTCAAGAGATCACACATCTCACGGTACTGTTTAGATGTATCTCAGAGCCAACTCTGGTATTTAAATACTCAAAAATTAATCCTAGGAATATGTGTCACTAGCATTCTCTCACAGCACTTTGGATCAGTAGGACTGGAATCCATTCTGTGTCACATTTTCAAAATGACAGTGTCATTTGACATAATCCTGGACATTTTTGTTTTGCATTTGACAGCTTATTTATGAGACTACACTGAGATTAAAGGTCCTTCTCTTCTCCATTCAGGAATTTATTAGATCATGTTGATCTTTTTAATCAGCATGTTTCAGGTTCTTTAACAAGACTATGATAACAATGAAAGTATTTCTTTCATCCATTTCTATTCAGGGAATTCATTGTGTCTTTGCTCAGCCCTTCCACACAGTCTTTTCAGTTTTGTCTAATGAAACGGCTTTCATGTCCAAATGCAAAATATTCTGACAGACTTCTGGGTGCTGGTAGTGTTTATGCAGTTCTCAGAACAAGAACAGCTATTCTAGTTGTATTCATTGATCTAGAACATTCACTTCCTCCTACTTATTTGCCCTGGGTTTATATGCAGTTCATGGAAAGCAAATCCACACGTTTCTTTCACTATCTCATATTTACCAACCACGTAGAAGAGTAAGGGTATCCTTTACTCTTCTTTTGCTCATGACAGCTCCTCCTTTTGCCATGTTTTCCCTCTTTGAGACAAGTTTAAAGCTTTTGGACCTCTTTGGTGCCGCTTTCCTCATTTTGTAAGTGGCTGTCAGTGTTTATGTTTTTGCTGTCATCTCTCATTCTTGGAGTGAGAGAGGCTCTGGAAAAGTCTAAACTCCTGTGGAGAGATGAACTGTACTCTTTTGCACACTATTTGGCAAGTCCAGCAGCATCCCAAACTCCTGGCTCTGATCACCCCGATTCCCTCAGAAGTCCAGGCGAGGCAATAAACAGCTTCAAGCCTTTGCCCATTTCCCTGGCCACGTAGCACAAGGCCAACAGGAGGTACCATTTTTCAGTGAAGATGCTCCTTTCTGCCATGTCCCTGACAGTCACGGTGGGATGGATCTCCAAAGGTCTTTTAAAAACAACATGCTGGTGGGCCCTTTTCCCTAACAGACCCGGTGCGTGTCCGTGGCCCCCCGCACGTCTACAGCTGCCTGCTCCCGCCTCACGCCAACCCCCACCGCACTTGAGGGCCTGTGGTAAGGACTCCTATATTGAGCCTGCCCCCGCTGTCCCCCAGAGGCCCCGGCTCTCCCGCCTCCGCCCCCTATGAGCCCCGCAGGGCCCGGGCACCTCCGCCCCGCGTAGCGCGAGG